GTGGAGTCCGGTTACCCAGCTGCCAGGCTTCTGTGCCTCTGCTGCTTCGCCGCAGCCAGGCTCGGGTAAGGCGGGCGCCCCGTGGGCTCGGGCTCCCGTGTCCCAGGCGCGGGTGTCTGACTGCCCCAGGCTCGTGCCTCCGCTCGATTTCCCGCCCTCAGGCCGGGGGTTTGGATACTGAGGGCGAGGAAAGAAGGTGAGCGCGCGTATCAGTTGCTATAGCCTCTTTTTCTGCTCCAAGTTTTCTACTGTCTTTTCCAGATGTCCCATCAGTAGGAACCGCAGGCATGTACTTGTCAAATTAGTCCTTTAGAGTAGGGGAGGGCGGGGTGTTGGTGAGGACCCTAGTATTTCTACCTGTGGTCCTGGGCAGAGTCTGCTCCCAGATACTTTTAAGAGATTCGCCATTCACTACTGAGACTTTCTTGGGACTCGAAAATCCAACTTCTATGGGACGGGAGTCGGTTGAATTCATTAAGCTGACTCCAGCAGCCGGGGAAAAGATCCGGCGGACACCGGCTGGCGAGGGTGTGACAGCTTGGAGCATAGGATCTGGTGAAAACTTTCCTGGTTGCGTGCCTGCGGCTAAGCCAGCAAAAAAGGTTGCGGACACAAGGCTTTTGTCATTTGTAAAGTTAGACCTGGGACAGGAAAATACAGAGGGTGAGGTCTGCATTGACGAAAATCTGCAAAAGGTGAAGTACTAATAACACTCCCTTGAAGATGGGGGCTTCCTTATTCCACCCTCCTCCCTGATTAGAGCATGTTTGGGTTTATCTCTTTAAAAAAATTTTTTTATATGTTCATTTCTCAATTGTTAACTAAGATGCAAACAGAATGTTACTGTACAGCAGCGTTAACATTCTTTCTCCCCCTAGTAGTTTTAATGGTAAAAGAGTTCAAGGTCACCTTTGGAGACTAGGTCACCTGTTGGGAATATTTTTACCTGAAGAAAAGATTTAGAAACTTCTGTTTCTTTCACTCTCTTTCCTACCCCCGCCCAACCCCTCCCACCCCCCAACACAGTGTGGTTACACTCCACCCTCCCTAGTTCTCACCTATTAAAGACCAGGAAAGAAGAAAGCAACCTCTTTTGTTCTGCAAGTACTCGCGGTTAATTTGGTCACGTGACTTTTGCTCCTTCGCCCTCCTTTAGTTCCTTCAATATTAAAGCACACCAACAGTGTTTTCTGTGAAGAATGCAAAAGATTGTAACAGAAAGGGAAATTTTTCCATGAAATGCTCTAGTAAAGTGATTATTATTTTTTAAACTGTGAAAATTGGGCCTCTGTTGAATTCCAATATTTTCACCTTTTGGGGAGGATCTCTTAAAATTAAAACTATTTTACCAATAAAATATCAACTGTTAAGCCTCTCCCTGTGTGTGAAATCTTACATTAATGGTTTCTATCCAATGAAGTGAATACTTTAGGTATCTAAGGTTTTAGTTTATAGAGGGCAACTGGAATAGAAGTGTATGTAAGTTATTAAAGAACTCCATGGAACCTTGGAAATTAATGGTATTAGGAATATTTCTAAGTTTCAAGGTTGCTGCATTCAGATATATTTGTGGCTTGACAATTCACTTACTCTTTCTCTTATTTAGTAATGTTACCATATGCAGCATCTCTTATTTATAACTCTGTCAGTGCATTATAAAGGACATCTCTCTAGAGCACTGTTCTGAATGTGTAGATTCCCTGCCCAGTTGTAACATTTTTAGATTAAATTCTGCTCTAGACTGAGTTGGAGGCAAGGAGATGAGGTGGGGATAAAGACTACAAGAATATGTGCACTGAGTTCTCATACCAGACCATCTCTGAAGTCCTGGCAAGTACCTAAACTAACTCAGCAAGTCCTTTTATTGAAGTATAGACAGTTTACAATGCTGTATCAGTTTCTGGTGTACCATGTTTTAGTCATATATATATATTCTTTTTCATTATAGGTTACTACAAGATATTGAATATACTTTCTTGTGTTAAACAGAAGAAACTTGTTGTTTATCTGTTTTATATATAGTAGGTAGTGTCTGCAAATTTTGAAACCCCAATTTATCCCTTCTTACCCTCTCTACCCTCTGGTAATCGTAAGTTTGTTCTCTCTGTCTGTGAGTCTGTTTCTGTCTTGTAAATAAGTTCATTTGTGTCTTTTTTTTTTTATTCCACATATTAAGCAATATCATCTGGTATCTTTCTTTCTCTTTCTGGGTTACTTCACTTATAATGATGATCTCCAGGTCCATCCTTGTTACTGGCAATGGCATTATTTTTTTTATGGCTGACGAGTATTACATTGTATAAATATACCACAGCTTCTTTAATCAGTCATCTGTATATGTGTCATTTTTGTCTTAAAAATGAGAAAATTTTGTTTGGTCTTAAAGGACATTCAGGTCACTTTGAACTCTTCTATAAAAGGCAGCTCCTTATTTCTAGAGCTAGGTATCACTGCTCTAGAGCAATATCTCTCCTAGGGTTTGCTCTTATTTCCAAAGGGCTTCCTAACATGCTGGGTACTGCCCTCCCCACCTAAGCAGGGTAGAGCAGTAGTTAAGAGCATGAGTTTTGGAGACTCCTAAGTCTGTCTTGGTTTTCTAGCTCTTATCTTGGGTAAGCTACTTATATTCTCCAAGCCTCATTTTCCTCACGTTCAGAATAAAGACAATAATAAAGCCTTGGATCATTATGAGATTCAAATGAGGTGATGCACATAATGTAAATAGCCGTGTCTACAACTTAATGGTCAATAAATAATATGAGTTGTTTTTTGATTTTTTTCCCAACACTGACCTCTTTTCTCTTTTACTTTTAAATTGATGAAATTTAACCTGGAAAAATGTAAAGTCCTATATATGAGTGTTTAAAAAGTAAGCAAGTACAGGATGAGGAGGTTGTAATTAATTGAACCAATCAACCTCATGGTCAATTGACTATGTGTTTCCCCTGAGTCAGTGGTGAGTTGTGAGGGCCCAGAAAGCCGATATGATTTTAAGCTGCTTGAGTAGGAATTAAAATGTGTGTTGATAGCCAAGGGTGTTTTTTCTACATCTGCCTTTTGTTCTTTGTGCAGACCTCAGAGTTACATTCAAGATGATCATTTACAAACTGATCTGTCTGAGAGAAGGAAGGAGAAAAGAGGCACCTCTTGAAGCCATATCATATGCTTTCATAATGAACACATTAATTCTTTGAATTCCTCCTCAACTTTTTTTGACTTCTTGTTGTATGTGAAGCTACCTGCCAGCAGAATGCAAGGGACAAAAGAACAAGTTCGTGCCCTCCAAGCATTCACAGTATAGTTCAGGTGACAGACATGAGAAGAATTTGAGCAGAGTGATAAGAGCTCTGGTAAAGGTAGAACAGGGAATGCTGGGAGTAGAAGGGTATCAACCAGGGGAGGCTCAAAGGAGTTAAAACTTAGTTCCAGTTTTGGAGGTTCCATTTTTATAGGAGCTTACCAGGAGGAAGTGCTGAGGAAGAGTATTTCAGGCCAAGGGAAGAATTTGTGTGAAGGTATCACAGGGTGAGAGAGCAGGACCAATGCAAATCATCGCGCAAAGTCCCTGTGCTGTCCCATCCTTTACTGGCTATGGGATGTTGACAAATTATTTTACTTCTATGAGCTTTAGTTTCCTCACATGTAAAATGAGGGTTGTATATTATTTTACATCAATATGTCCTTATATAATCTTCAAGTCTCTCTTATAAGCATGTCTACCTCACAACTTTGTTGGAAGACTTAGCTGCCTATAAAACACGAGGCTGTCTGATGTGCAGGTGACAGTCAACCAATGAGATTCCCTACACCCATCTCAGTCCCTTGATGATAGAAAATATAACACAAATCCAGCCTTGAGTATAGATGAGACTGACCATTTTCATGCATATTATAAACAGCAGGCCAAGAAACATCGTAACTTCTCATTGTTTAGTATCAAGTACTTTTGCCACCACTATCCCTACTCCCCAACCGAGGCAGGTTTTCCTTCAACTAAGACTGTCTTTTTAGGCCTGTCTGTTTTAAGACCAGGCTCTCTAGAGGGAGTTCCACCACACTGAGAGTTCTTTGCTGGACAAAGGTTAGCATTCCTGTATTTACATGATAGGATCTCAGGCCCTGCTTCGTGCTCCAGTCCTTGTTTACAGTCTGAGCAATCAAAGTAAGTCTTTTAGAGAAAATTTTTGTGGAGAGACAATCTGGAAAATGCATTACTTATTCTGGAGTACCAAAATCCAAACTGAACATTTGGGGAGGAATTTGTTAGAGGATCCTACCCTCCTGTGACTTTTTTCTTTGGTATTGTTAGCTCTAAGAATTCTTTGAAATAAGGAAGACTTTGCCTCAACATTCTAACTTGATCCCTCTTGCATTTGCTCAAGGATTGAATACCTAGTTTTCCTCTTTAAGCCTGTCTCCACATGGAAAGGCCTTAAGCAGTTTCATTGCAAAGTCCTACAGAACATGGAAGATTTCTTTCTACATGTCATTTAGATAGCAGTAGACAGAAAAGACACTACTCTTAAGTTTCAGTCCTTGCAGAGAAAAATACTAGGTTAGGAGCCAGACGAGGCCTGTTTGCTGTGGAAGGCCCAGATCAGACCGGCCAAGTATTGGTGATCTCACCAGGCCATGCAGACCAGGCCCTGAGTAAAAACGTCTTGAGGGAATTGTTCTTTTTGGTCATTCATTAAATGAATATTGCTTTAAATTTATCAGTTAATTTGTATATTTCATTAATTGTGCTGTGCATGGAGGGTGATAAGATTGATTAAGTTCCTTAGCCTCCAATGTCAATAAGAATATCTTTGGAGAGCTGGTTTAAAATTCAGATTTCCAGCCTCAAGTTCATATTCTCTCAGCCTTAAGTGGTGACCAGAGTCAGGCACACAGTAGGCCCTTCATAAATATTTGTTAAGTGAACTAACACTCTCAAAATCACAGTTAAAATGGAATTAATCTCCTGTAATACATTTCTCAATTTTCTCCTCTTTTTTAAATGTGAAAAACTCTGTACTAATTCTATATGTTTCCTTTTTAAAAAATATAATGTATTCAATTGCAATCATTGTTTAGAAATTGAAAATGAAAAGAATTTTTCATAGCATTACAATATTCTTTTTAGTTAAGAGAAACAGGGACTGTGATTCTTAATAACAGCCCAATATGCCACACAGGCACAGACATTTATTTCTG